GCCTTCCCTTAAGGAAGTATTTTCTCTAATTTAAGATCAGCTATATATCCATGCTACTTCTTAAGTGCATAGGAGACAGGAATCTAATTTATCCTTCTCCTTACAGGTCTTTGACCTAAGTGAGGAAACTTTACTAACAGCTGGAGACTGTAGGTCTTGTTCTGCTCTGCACCCACAGTGAATCCGGCATTGAGGCACATGAATAGATTCTCCACCTGCCTCAGGTTCTGCTTGGGATAACGTTCTGGCTTGCAGAACAGAACATCCTGTTTCCAGCGGCACTCCCAAGACAGTGCAGTTGGACGTGTCCGACCGTGGGAAGAGATCCTCTCTGAATCTCCGAGGAAGAAGCTGAATAACCATCAAGAACCAAAACAACAACTAACTGGCCAGTGAGCCATCTGGTAAAGAAAAAGCAAGACAGATACGACCAGGGCCAGCAAGGAAGCAGCAAATGATTTTTCAAACATAGGAATGTGGGTGTGAGGGGTGCGGTTCTTCTGGAAAACTGACTCTGGATTATGTGTCTCTATAAAAACATGCCAAAATGAGTCACCAAATATCCTCAAGTGGCTCACCCATTAAAATCGACATATAGAGAAACTGTGGAAATGTTTTATCCTTCGAAATATCTTCCTGATCATGATAGGCACATAGCCGCCGACTAGTCTGACTGCGAAGCCGGCCACTCAACCAAGAGACAGTATACTGTTCCTCCTCTCTCCTCTGGACCTCGCCTGTGCTGTATCATATTCTCAAATATTAGATTTGGCCCCATTCAGGTTGTCAGTGAGCTCTGTGTGCAATAAAAGTAATAAACAGATGTTCTGCTGTTGTAATCTGAACAAATGTTTCACACCAATAAATATGTTTTTAATACCTTCCACCATACAAGTGCCGCTTCTGTCTTTTCATTGCCTCTACACTGGCTGCTACTCGTGTTGTTGCACCATTTAGATTTAGGCGTCTTATACAGTCACTTCCTTGAAGTACTCTGAAGCATTAGATCAATGTAAACAGAAGGAAAAACTGATTATAAGCAAGAGGAGATGATTCGAGGTTTGTAATTTCTCAGAATGGCACTGATGAATACTATACATTAACACTGGCAGGCAGCTTTTATCTAATCAAAATTACACCTCTGTCAGCAGCTGAGAAAATGGAAAGTGTAATTTTCTCTAAATTTAAGCATCAGATTTATTGGATTCAGCAACAGACTTACAGGATTATTGTATACTTGTGCCTCTTAAAAGGGAGGCCTCCCCGTAGACTCAAAAATCACCCAGTCACGCAGCAAAAGGATCAACATATTTTCTACTTAAGAGTCCATTTCCTGGAACACAGAGGCCTTACCAGTTTTATCTTCTCTTTCTTCCGCTTGCCCGGCGCCGACCCAGAGGAGCTGGGGCCCGACTCCTGGCCAACCGCGTTGCCGTCGTCGTCCACGTCCCCGTCGTCGTCGTCAAAGCACCATTCTGGCAGCTCGGGGGCAGGTGGTGCGCCCTCCCCGTCACCATAGCGACGGAAAAGCTCTTTGAGGTAGTCTCCCTTGTAGATCCCCGGGGCCCGAGCCTGGGCAAAAGCAGCCACCGCTGCCTCGATGCTGATAAGAACGAATAACAGAGACAGGATGTCCTTTTAAAAAAAACTTCAGACTAGTTTCAAGTTGACCAAACGATCATGAAAGTGGGTGAAAGATATGGGTATATAGATGATTTTCTGTACAATAAGTGGACCTTTTACATGGTGTAGAGGCACTATCTTTATACCAGGGTGTCTAAAGATGAGGCTCCCATGAAACCAAAGGGAAACACAAAAAGAATGAAATATTTAATTTGCTTTATTTTCCTTAATGTTATGATCATTTAGTGTCTCTTAACTTCTATCTACAACTAGACTTCAGTATGTGTGAGAGAGGGGTGGAGTAGAACAAGCATAAAAGAGAAGATAGTGAGCTGACTTTAACCAAGAACAAATGTTTCTAAACGAGTGTCTGTCTAAAACCCATGATGGAGGGATGCCAACCAACTGCCTTGACTCGAACAGCAGCAGCAGCAGCTGAGCCACACGACAAAAACCGGAGGCCACATCGTTTCAAAGGCAGGGATGGAGGAACACTTAAAAACAACAGTCACATTTACAGAATAACACAAACTAAAAATAATTTAATGCAATAGGGAAAAAAAAAGAAAAAAAAAAAGCTGTATAGGAGATTTTTGCTACCACTTTAAATGAAATGTCAAACCGCATTTGCAATAAGTCGAGGCAAAAAAAGAAAATACACTTTTCTTGAAGTAAACGTGTTTGTAAGCTCCAAACTTTGGCCTGTTTCAACAAAATATATTCAATCGTTTCAAGTTTGAAAGACCTTTCAACACAGAAAGTGCAGTTTGATTATTAAACACTTCTACACGTGGGCTTTAATGACTATAGTCATTAAAAGCCCCTTAGTTTAAACTGTTATTAGGCATATGAAAGCTCGTGCTCAGCTTGTCCTCACTTAAAACCA